ACCGTGGGCGGACACGAGGGGCCGCGAGTCCTCTCCGAAGCCGACGCGGTCCTTATTTCAGCGCCTTGACCTTGGCATCGCCCGGACGTGTGCGTCTTTTCCTCGGCGAGGACCATCGAGGAGCATCCTTGATCCATCGGCGAAAAAACCACGCACGAAACCGACAAAAAAAACAGGGAATGGACGTCCGAGCGATGCCCAGTGACTGTGTTCTTGCTGCTCCTCCCCCCGCCATGCAGGAAGGGGTCCCCGGGGAAGCGGGTCCCGGACCCCGGAGCTCCCCCGCCCCCCCCCGGGCCAGCTGTTTGTCCTGAGGCGTCCCGTCGGCGAGCCCAGGGCTCATAGTGGCTCTTTCTTTGGAGACGAAAAGGGGCGCGCGCCGAAATCCATTCCAGACGAAATTAAGGTTTTTCTTAGAGTTTCAGTGTGCAGGCGCGCCCTGCCGCGCGGTGGTTCCCAGGTGCGCCTTAGCGCACGCTGACGCATAATGCGGGGCATTCATATTGCACGTTGCGCATGCTATCGCGTGCAAATCACGCATGGCTTGAGCTACTTCGCAGACGCTTTCTGGCGAGGCCCTTCGAGGGCCCTCTCAGGGCCCGCCGGGGTCGCCGAGTGCCGCGAGCTTCCGGCAGCCATTGTCGACAGTTGGCAAAAGCAACGTCGCCGAAATGGTCGCCGAAAGAGCCGTCGAAAGGGCCGCCGAGATTGCCGCCGAAGGGGCCGCCGAAAGAGCCGTCGGAAGGGGGGGCCGCCGGAATTGCCGCGAAATTGCCGCCGAAATTGCCGCCGAAATTGCCGCCGAAATTCCAGATGGTTCCGCCGAAAAGAGGCCGAATTTGACCATGGCTGTGACTCTATGCCTGTGTTTGTGGCGTCATCGTGCTTCCTGGAATAGCGATTTCGTTTGCGACGGGGCAGTGACAATTTCGGCGGCTGAATTTCGGCGGCGATTTCGGCGGTTGAATTCCGGCGGCTATTTTGGCGGAGTTCGCAATTATTTCGGCGGTGAGTTCGGCGGCAAGTTCGGCGGCAAGTTCGGCGGCAATTTCGGCGGCAATTTCGGCGGCAATTTCGGCGGTGAGTTCGGCGGCAAGTTCGGCGGCAAGTTCGGCGGCAATTTCGGCGGCAATTTCGGCGGCAATTTCGGCGGCAATTTCGGCGGCGATTTCGGCGACGATTTCGGCGGCCCTTTCGGCGGCCCTCCTGGCGGCCCTTTCAAGGACCATTTCGGCGGTTTTGCTTTCCGACAGCTGTCGACGAATGCTGCTGGGAGCTCGCATCACTCAGTTGCGGCAAAGAGTCGATGTGCGGCGACGCAGACTGACCTGACCCCAGCCCGACGATGATTGTAAGATTTGTTATTTTGTGGTTTTGGCGGCGATGATTGCGATGGCCGCGGTAATGTCTGGTTCAAAATGGATGCTCGTCAGGGGGCATTGCAGGCTGGCCTACGCGCCCAGCACTGCATGCTTTCAAACAAGAAAAAATTGCCGCGCAACTCCTTCGGAATTCGGCGGCTATTTTGGGGGCCGTGGTGGCTCCAAAGGGTTGTCCTCGGTGACAGGGCCCGGGGGGGGCTCCAGGACGCCCCCAGGCCGGCGACAGAGCAACGGCAGGACCCCCCCCTCCTCCAGGACCCCTGTGCTTGGCATCGCTCGGACGTGTGCGTTTTTCCTTCGGCGAGGGCCATTGAGGAGCATCCTTGATCATTCGGCGAAGAAGCCACGCACGAAACCGAAAAAAGCACAGAGAATGGACGTCCGAGCGATGCCCAGTACTTTGATGAACGCGAAGCAGTAAATATTTACAAATGGTTATAATGATGCTATGTTAGCATTACGAGGGTTTAGGATAGATTAGGATGCTACTTAGGATTGGTTGGGGGGCCTTTAGTTTTAGTGACGATTAGGTCCACTATTTCGTCCTATAGGGGCTATAGGCTTCTATCATCAGCGATAGTTGCGAAGCCTAAAGCTGTCTATTTTTTGTATGTTTCACCATTTTTCAGTATTTTCACTATCTTTCACTCTCTTTCACATGTTTCACTAATTTTCACTACTTTTCGCTATGTTTTTCACTATTTCTTACTATTTTCATTAGTTTTCACAATTTTTTGCGAGAGGCGGCGGTTCGCTCGACTCTCGAGCCGTGCGCCCGACTATCTCTTCCGTCGAGCCGTGCGCTCGACATCCTCGCTTGAAAAAACGCTGCGTTCCTACCGTGTCACTCTCGTGTCCCTCCCGTGTCCCTCCGGTGTCCCTCCCGTGTCCCTCCTGTGTCCCTCCCGTGTCCCTCCCGTGTCCCTCCCGTGTCTCTCCCGTGTCCCTCCCGTGTCCCTCCCGTGTCCCTCCCGTGTCTTTCCCGTGTCCGTGCCGTGTCCCTTATGCCACTCCTCCCGTGTCCCTCCCGTGTCCCTCCCGTGTGCTTCCCGTGTCTCTCCCGCGTCCCTCCCGTGTCCCTCCCGTGTCCTTGCCGTGTCCTTGCCGTGTCCCTTATGTCACTCCTCCCGTGTGCCTCCCGTGCCCCTCCCGTGTCCCTCCCGTGTCCCTCCCGTGCCCTTCCCGTCCCTCCCGTGCCCCCACTCCTCCCGCGTCCCTCCCGCGCCCCTCCCGTGTCTCTCCGCATGCTTCCTCCGTGTCTACCCTATTGGGTGTTATTTGGATGTTGTTTGGGTGTTGTCTGGGTGTTGCCTGGTGTTGTTTTGTGTTGTTTGGTGGTGTTTTCTGTTGTTGTTGTGTTGTTTTTGTTGTATTGTGTTGTCTGGGCGCGCCCGCACAGAAAAAAATGAAACACAACAAACAAAACCATGTTGTATTTTCTTGTTGTTGTGTTGTGTTGCGTTGTTGTTGGTTGTTGTTTGTTGTGTTTTTGTTGTTTGGTGTTGTCTGATGTTGTCTGGAGTTGCCCTGGGTTCCTCTGGCGTTTGTCTGGGGTCTCTCCCTCTCTCTCTCTGTCTCTCTCTCTCTCTCTCTCTTTCTCCTCTCTCTCTCTCACACTCTCTCTCTCTCTCGCACCCTTTTTGTTCACCCTCCCGTGTTGTTTGTTTTTGTTTTGTTTTTTTGTTTGTTTCCACCGTTTTTTTGTTTTTGGACCCCCGAACCCCGACCCCAGAGTTCAGATCCGCCTCCCCCTTCTCCTCCTCCTCCTCCTGCTGGGAGATCCCCCTCCTCCTCCTGCTCCTCCTGCTCCTGCTCCTCCTCCTCCTCCCGCCCTCCTCCTCCTCCTCCTCCTCCTCCTCCTCCTCCGCTCCTCCTGCTCCTCCTCCTCCTCCTCCTCCCCCTCCTCCTCCTCCCCCTCCTCCTCCTCCTCCTCCTCCTCCTGCTCCTGCTCCTGCTCCTCCTCCTCCTCCTCCTCCTCCTCCTGCTGGGAGATCTGTTGGGTTCTCGTGGGAGGAGGGGGAGGAGGAGGAGCGGGCCAACCGCTTTGCTTCGAAATTTTGAGAACGGCTTCACTATTTGTTTATAATATTTTCTATGGTTTTCCATATTTGCATTGTTTTTTTTCACTATTTTTCACTGTGTTTCACTATTTTAACAATTTCTCACTATCCGTAAGGGCTTCGCCCCCTGCCGCCGGCCCCCTCTCTCGGAGAATGGGCCATGGAAGAGCTAAGTCATGAGGCTTTGGCTCTGTCGTGCAGCAGTATCGGAACTTCATGCGAGGCCGATTCGCAATCGGCAAAACCAACTGATCACAAGAGGGGTTACCACACAGGGCGATTGGTAAGACGTGTATGGTTTACGAGCTTGGTTACCACACCTTGGGATTTAATGGGCCGAGGGAGTACTCGCAGTTTGGGGGTTACCACGCCTTGCGATGGATGTGCGTGAGGGGTGGCACCGAATTTCAGAAATGTGGCAAATCCCTTGTGTTTTTGGACCCTGACCCCGCGGATCTGCGTGAGGGGTGGCACCGAATTTCAGAAATGTGGCAAATCCCATGTGTTTTTGGACCTGACCCCGCGGATCTGCGTGAGGGGTGGCACCGAATTTCAGAAATGTGGCAAATCCCATGTGTTTTTGGACCCTGACCCCGCGGATCTGCGTGAGGGGTGGCACCGAATTTCAGAAATGTGGCAAATCCCCTGTGTTTTTGGACCCTGACCCCGCGGATCTGCGTGAGGGGTGGCACCGAATTTCAGAAATGTGGCAAATCCAATGTGTTTTTGGACCCTGACCCCGCGGATCTGCGTGAGGGGTGGCACCGAATTTCAGAAATGTGGCAAATCCGCGGATCTGAGTGACAGGTGGCACCGAATTTCAGAAATGTGGCAAATCCCATTTGTTTTTGGACCCTGACCCCGCGGATCTGCGTGAGGGGTGGCACCGAATTTCAGAAATGTGGCAAATGCCTTGTGTTTTTGGACCCTGACCCCGCGGATCTGCGTGAGGGGTGACACCGAATTTCAGAAATGTGGCAAATGCCTTGTGTTTTTTTGACCCTGACCCCGCGGATCTGTGTGAGGGGTGTCGATTTCGAGCCCCCCCAGCAATTCAGACAACGCGCCCAGGGGGTGCTAAAAGTCCCGTTTGGGCTTCCCCCCCCCTCGCGCGGTCAATCAACTAGTTACAGTAACCAGCAAGAAGCAGAACTGTAACACTGGAAACCACAAGCTACAACTGGTACAGGAAACTGCGAACCCGCGCCTACAGCCTGGTGGCCCCACAAGGGGGCCGGCGGATTTTTCATTTTTTTCTCTATGTTTCAGTATTTTTCATTATTATTTCAGTTTTTTAACAAATATTTATCATTCTTGTTTGCATTATTGTTCCGTATTCCATGCTATATGTTGATACAATCTTATAGAAACCTAAAGGACGATATAGCTTTCTATAGTCTTCGCGTTCATCAAAGTAGGGTGCGATCGCTGCAGCCCGGGCGCTCGCCCGTACGCCCTGGCCCGGCCTCCGGAGAGCAAAAAGTCAGAAAGAGATCACTGCGTTGTCTCGTTCTTCCATCCTCGTTCTCCAGGACCCCTTTCCCTCGAGCACCCCCAG